AATATTTTCAACATAATTTCTTTGTACCATTAGTTTTTAAATCGCTACGAACAAATATATAAAAGTTTTACCTATAAAATAATTTTTATTCCCTAATATATGGGCAACCGATAAGGCTCCAATTTCATAGAGATGTATTTAAACAAAGTGCATGTGCATGTTCAGATATATCCTGAGGATTGGATTTTTTTTTTCTGGGATAGGGAGTGCAAGTATATAATTGGAGGCACCATGTACAGCATCAAAGTCAATAAATAGGATACGCAGTGACATCCCCATTCCCAAGTCGCCAGGAACCAGGCTATAGGTCGTATGAACATGTGGGCTGTGGCGGGGCAAGTTGAAATTCAACCAAACAACCCATTGTAGCAAGTTATTTGGCCACAAGGTGACTAACATCAAGTCCAGTGAGATGTCTCCAGCCAAGTGCCATTCCTGTTCTCGATGTTACCTTACATATTGGTTCGTGTAATTGCTAACCTTTTCTGGGTCCACGGTAGGTTTAGGATTTATACTGGACTACTGGTTCACTCATTTGCCGCCAGGTTTCCAAGTGGATTGCTATTTTCTCACTCCCCATAATACTAGACGCAGGCCCTTGTTACTCAGACAAAATGGTAGTCGAGAACTCTAGGAACACAATGACTGACAGTTCTTCAGAAACGGCAGAGCAACTCTCTTCAGAGCCTGCATATTACCTTCCACCCTGGTACTCCATTTGACACGGGATGCTCAATGCATTCGTGAATCTGCGAGCATGAGAGACTTGTTAGGTTTTTTATGGAAGTGCAAATGAGTGAAGAAAGGTGAAAATCCGTTAGATTCTCATAAGCAAATTAATCCGCGTTTTGGTAATTTGGAATGGTGGGCTAATTAGATAGGAGTAAATTTTATAACTGCTGTACATTAACCCACATCTTATATAAACTAGCCTATAGATCAAATTAGAAGCTTTACTAAAAAAGAGCATGGTGTGCACACTCGCCTCATGTCCGCATCCCATAGACGTGGCAGGAGGGCAATAGTACAGTCAATCTAACTCTATTGTACTGAAGTTAAAGTCTTTCTAAAAAGAGCAATGCTCCCGTCCTGCGTTTTGTACCGCTCGGTACATGTACCACGCGGTACCAAAACCCATCTGGCCGTTGATTTCGCGTGGGTAGGATTGGAAAAGGAAAAGAAGCATTGTCTGTCCTCCTCATCTATCCCGTAGCGCGATTATCTCTCCCGCAAGAGCGCCGCCGTCTTCTTTTCAGACTCGAGAGCGAGCGCCGCCGAAGAAACCTCGACCCCAAATCCGAAACCCTAGCCGCCAAAAAATCGCGCCCCAAATCCTCCGTTTTGCCGTCTTGGCCGACTTGAGTGAAGCGAAGCTTTCCATCCTGGATGGGGGAAGGCTGTCGCGCCGTGGTCTGAATCGCCGGAGCAGCCACTATACATCGCCGGAAGCAAACTGCCGCCGTTTCAGTCTTGCCTAGCCTCGGCAGCATCCGCCGGAGTCCCCAGGAGCTGAAGCCGCGTCTGTGCCGGTGTTGCCGCAGCCGAGGGATCGATCCAGGATGATGTGAAAAGACCTCGCTACCCTTCCACCGCACATGGCAAAGTGGTACCGCGCCAGGGATAAAAATGGTACCGGGAGGTACCGTGCAATCCTATCCGTTAGATCTCACCGAACGAACGGCCCAGATTTGGTACCTCGGGGGGGGGGGTGCTGGACGATAAAATTTTCCTTCTAAAAAAGTTCACTAGTTAACTATTCAATGAGAACATAATGATTGAGCACGTGTATTCATTATAGAAATTGTCCCTTATAGAAAATATGCAGAATATTTCATTCTGCAGAAACAAAAATGTTGTAGAAATACAATGAGATCTAGAGTAGATTCACACTTGCTGTCTTCCTAAACTGTAAAACACACAAGTAAACTTCAAGGAGACCATATCAAACACCAGGTATTTCAAGCGCAAACAATTGAGATTATGCTAACCTCTACTTTTATCTTCTTTAACACTGTGAAAATATGGAAGTAGTCTAAATTCCTTGATCAGCCAAACACACCTGCCAACATACTCAGGGGAAACAAAGTCCAGCATTGATGGCCAGAATTTCAGCATCTCATACTCGACAAGGTTCAGACGCTCCATTGTGAATAAAGATAGGAGCTCAAGATGTTTAAGTAGAAAGTGAGCCCTTGTGTCAGAGAATGCACTCATACAACAAAGCTTACATGAAACAGTTTGGAGTTGGAACTAACATATCAAACTGAAGTGTGTTCACAATCACCCTCTACTATAATTATAAATGCTACTTTCACTTATGTAAATAATGTTTGTTCACAACAGATATTTGTTGGAAACAAAAAGATAAGAATAGTACATCACAAAATTTTCTGGAGAACACTTACCTCTAACAGTCAATTCGTAAAGAATGTCACACATCTTTTCGGTTATGTCTGTTAGGCTCAACCTGTAATTAGGACAGAGACAGCTCAAACCCTGTGCACAAAGAATTCCTGAATTCAAATCATTAGTTTTGCAAAAAAATAGTATCTTTCAGTATCAGGACTTAAAGAAAATGACGATGTCTAGCAAATCCAGCTTGGTCCTTGGTATCCACAGCAGCATGGAAAGAAATTCAAAGCAACTATAGATGGAGTAAAATAAGCTTAAAATTGAAAGTTCAACAAAGAGGTGGTAAATAAGTAAATTTCATACGGAGTAGCAAACCTCCTCTTACATCATAAGTGGTAATAAGTACTCTAGTTTCTCATATTAGAAATGCAGAAATTTCTACATCATAGTAGTTATCCAACAACATTCTCAACAAAACATATCAGACAAAAGGTTGTGTCTGTATTCTCTAAACTGGTTTCGGCCGGTCTTAATCCTCCAGAGCGTGACGAGCAAAATGATTCTACAGAAGATCGGTGACTTAGGCTTTCTTGATCTTCCGTTCCGACGACCAGTAGAAGAACTTTAGGTACAGCCCAATGAACCCAGCCCCAACGAGGAAGGAGAGAATAGCAACCTGCCAAAGTAATATCTGCTGCGGCTTGGATATGCCAGGGATGAGGAAGCTTAAGAGCATGCCCATCGGCCCATGCGAGATGCGACCATGCCTCCTGGTGAAGAGGAGCACCAGGACACCAAGCGAAAGAATCACGGAAAGATGTTGCGGAGCATGAGCTGAGGAGGGATGGACACTTGGACAGCGGGATCCCTGGTCTCAAGGAGAACGCGGGGAAGCTGAAGGCAAGCATCCAGGACAGTGGCCCTCTCATACCGCTCGCCGGAGCTCGGTGCTCGCCAGCTTCCGCCGCTCATTGTACCGGGCACGGGCAGCTCGGTGGGGTTGAACCCGAGGAAGAAGACGGGTAGGCGGCGTCCAGAATTGTTGAACCTGTGGGCTGGACCCGATTCCGACGAGCGTGCTGCCAACAATATGGGCCGAAACGGGATTCGCATGTACGTGCCATTAGCCCATTACATGGACCGGTACATATAGGGCCCAATACCGGATACTAGTATGTGCTTTGCGTTGGGCTATGCTGCACGGCCCGCACCTTTGCTCTGGCCCAATTCGGTCCGAGACTTTTGGTCGCCCCTCCCCCTGCCGCCGCCGCCGCCGCCGCGCTCGTCCGCTGACGCCGGCGGCCGCCTCGGCGCCTCGCCGTCGCTGAAGCCTGAAGGCACCCCCTACGCCATATGTGATGCTCCACTGGAGCCTCTGCCAGCCCATCCAGACTGCCACCACCTCCTCATCGCTTCTCCTCCGCCAACGCCGACGTCAGCCTTGCCGGACGCCATGGTCGTCCTACAGGCGGAAAAGCCGCCACCTCTGTCCCTCACTGGAAAACCATGTTCGGAGATTCGTTTTCTTTCATCCATACGGCTACGACTTCCGCCCCCCGCCGCCGTCGTACCGGTTACCGGAGCGGGAGAGGGAGGTGAAGTCGCCGGCTAGCACCGCGCATTAAAGGGGATAGATTTCCATTTCTCCGTCCAATTACTCTTCCTTTTTCGAGTCATCACAAAGGCTGGGATGAATGCCTCCATGAACTGCATTGCGGTGAAATTGTTATGTGGTGATGAGCACTGAGCAGTTCCAGTACTGCTAGCTTTCGATCTCTGAAGGAATCTGCATTTCGAGAGGAAGTGCAGAGAGTGGATGGGGACGAGAGAGATATGTGCTGTCTATTTTTCTTCCTTCTCTTGTGGAGAATAGCTGCAAGGAATTGCTTATTATAAGTACCTCCCACAGACTGCTTCTGCACTGTCCTTGTAAGATTGGATATTTCTTGCTGCTGTTCAGTTCTCCTCCTGCCAGATGCTTAATATCATTTCTTTCAGCAGGAACAATTCAGGTTTTACATAATTTAATTACCACAATCAAAGGCCAGACTGCAAAAAAACTAAGAGGAAGGATTGCACATGAATTTACCCAACAAGTTAAGCTATCTGGGTAAGGTTAGAAATATACATTAGTCAAAAAAAAAGGTTAGAAATATACTGATATTCAGTGCTTTTGATTTATTTGATTGTTGCAGTTACTTTCTGGTGATTAAGTGATAAATTCGCTGCATTCAACTATTGTAAGGACTTCAACAGAAAATTGCCGAGTTTGCAAGTGCACTTGATATATGAAACGTTCCAGGACCATCAGAAGTAATAAAAATATGTGGTACTAATATAAATACTTGAGAAAATATGTTTTTTTTTCAGTTTGACTTATACTCACAAATTTTAAACAAGAAAACCTGATACTTCAACTGGTCAGATTCTTTGCAGACTTTAGCAAGTCAAATAACACTCAGTCCATAGCAACAATACTAACTTTATCTGCATCTAATACTCAACATAATCCCTCTAGGGTATTAACTGCTGCCCATAGTCACTGATTGGAATATCTTAAAATATGTCTTTGATTGTAAGTCATCCTGAAAATGTAGAAGATGCCAGATACAGTCATAAGCACTTTCCTTTCAGAATTTCTTAATATAAGCACTCCAACCTCCCAAGCATTATTCTGGTAAAACAAGAGCCATCTACATTAGGTTTGAGTTGCTCTACCGTCCTGACACATCTACATTAAGTTTGAGTTGCTCTACCGTCCCTGAAGAACTGTCATAGTCATGGTGTTTCTAGAGCTACCGTCTGTCATTTTGTCCATTTCACTTGTTGTTTGTGCAAAATATGCAGGCTGATTTGGCATTGCCAGAAATGTTGTGCTTCCATTCTCCAAGATGGACACAACAGATGACATGAGCGGCCTGCTGTTCGGGTTGTCTTCTACACACAAGAGCCCGACGTGGATGCAAAGCTGGACTTCATCCAATGAACTGCTCTCCGCAATGGATGAATCTATCAGGTTTTTCGCCTTGCCTTCCTTCCATAGGCTCCATGCCTGAATTAAACAGTCAATTCAATATTTTTCATTTTAACATGGCTATAAAATCAAATTGCTATCTGAATTGTAATGTCAGAACTGCATAGCTTTGGCCTTTGGCAGTTTCAGTTACTTACATAGACTATAAGGCTTGGGAATTCCATGATATCGGTAGAGCTTATCCGGATACCACTTACAATCTCCAAGAGCAGTACTCCAAAACTATAGACGTCAGACTTGACAGAAAAGCTTCCCTCGGTAGAATATTCAGGAGCAATGTAGCCACTGTTATGATGGGAAAATTGTTAAATGCTAACCAAATCCATTCATATGAAAATTATGGTCAGGTTTTCAAAGGAATACTCACTATGTTCCCACAACTCTTTTGGTATTCGCCTTTTGCTGGTTTTCACCAAAAATTTTGGCCATACCAAAATCTGCTATTTTGGGTCTCATTTCAGCATCCAGCAAAATATTGCTTGCCTTGAGATCTCTATGTATTACAGTTAATCTTGAATCTTGGTGGAGATAAAGAAGTCCTCTAGCGACACCTTTGATTATCCCGAATCGTGTCGGCCAGTCTAGCAGTGATTTTCTCGCACCATCTGCAAATAACATCAACATCATCATAAAAATCATGTCTACCCTGTTTTCCTTTTCTTTTCAGTAAAGGTTAGTTGTGAACTTGTGATCACCTGAACTTACCAAAAAGAATAGCATCTAGGCCTTTGTTAGCTAAGTATTCATATATCAACAACTTTTCAGATCCCTCAGTGCAACAGCCAAGAAGTCGAACCAAGTTCCTATGCTGTAATTTGGCAATCAAAATAGCCTCGTTTTTGAACTCCTCTATTCCTTGGTCAGAATCCTTGCTGAGCCTTTTGATTGCAACTTCTTGACCATTTTCTAATGTTACCTTCCAAATTATAAAAGAGTAAGTAAGAATTGAGTATAATTCAATTCAGAAAAAAAAACTGCAAAAGGTTAATTCAGAATAAATTACCTTGTAAACCTTTCCAAATCCTCCACGTCCGATCAAACATGATTTGGAGAAGTTGTCTGTTGCAGCAACAATATCACTGAATCGTATGGATGGAAATTCAAGATCCTGAGTAGGATTTTCCTCAAGAAGTTCACTTGAAGTATTCCTACTTCCAGGAACCAACGTCTTCTGGCTATCTCTTTTTCTTCTATTCTCTGTAAAGTTTAAGTTAAGGTCTTGTCTTCTCTCATGACTGATCAGAGCATATAATCTAAACATAAAAACAAGGATAGAAGTACTACTGTACCTCTGGACTTGCAGAAATATACAAAGAAAATGCAGGTGAGCACTAAAGCGCTGGCCAGTATTGGCACAGCAATTTTCACAACATTTCCCCTTCCCCTGCTACCTGCACCAAAACAGGGCAATGTATTATGAACAAATGCAATACGAAACTGGTTTGAATTTTGTCTCTTTGACAGTTTTCAGCTCATTTTTAACCAACAGCAAATGATACAACCTGCATATGCTTGTGAAATCTGGTTTCAAAATTTATCAATTTAGCTTACCTGTTGAACTTGCAGGAACACGGAGGTAGAGCGTCTCGCCGGCGCGGCCCCATGTCGTCTGGCCGATCATCACCATGTCGATAAGCTCACTGGCCCACACCAAGCACCGGCCGATGTCCCCCCGGGCGCTGCTGCTGCTCAGGTCGGCGTGGGCGTACGCCTCGCACGAGCAGTTCATGGCGCACCTCGCCGCGCACTCGTCGAACGTCATGTTCCCGACGAGCGTCGAGAACTTGTCCGGCACCTTCATCCGCGGCAGCGCCAAGAAACCATCCCCGCCACCGCACGGCGGCGCCTCCTTCCGCCGGCAACCCCCCGAGAACCTGCCGGCGCTCCACTCCCCGCCGCTTGCCGGCTCGAAGCCGTCGAGGCACTTGCACGCGGCGGCGGCGCCCGTCGTGATGTCGCAGTAGCCGTTCGGCCCGCAGTAGCCGTACGTGGTGCAGTGGTGCGTCGGGAACGAGCTGAAGGTGATCCACTCCGACGAGCTCTTGTCCCAGCCCAGGAGCTGGAACTCGCCGGAGCTGGTCATCACGTACCGCGTCGGCGAGGCGCCGTCGGAGACCCTGAGCTTCACGTAGATCTCATCGTCGTTGTCCACCACGTCGAGGTAGATGGTCGTGCCGGTGGCGGCGAGGTACTGGCCGGAGGTGAGGTAGCCCGTCCACACGGTGGTGCGCCAGTACGGCCTGGACCCGTTCCACATGACGAGCTGGAGCGACGTCTCCGGGTCCATGCCGTACGAGAAGCTCCCCGGCGAGGGGTCGCCGCCGGCGTCCTTCCAGGACACAAGGCGCGCGCCACGCCGCGTCCGTTTGTTCAGCTGGATCTTCATCTCAGGTATGAGCGTGTCGGTCGGGTGGTCGAAGCTCTGCCACAGGATGGCGCCGTTCGACCGGATGACGAGGTTGCCATTGTTGAGGAGCTCGGCCACCGGCGGCGAGGTCGAGCGCCCAGCCGCGACGCCGGCGGTGACATTGGTCGACCAAAGAACGCGGCCGTCGGCGTCGGACAAGACGAGGTTGGAGTCGTTGGTCAGCGCAAGCCTCGGGGCGATGGACCTGCCGGCGGCGATCGCCGGAGCTTCCCGGTTGGCCACCCACACCACGGTGCGGTCGGTGATGTTGTACCATATGCCGATGTACTGCCTCTCCGGTGTGGAATTGGACGGCGAGAAGAAGCCTAGCACGAAGGCCCCGCCATCCGAAGCTCTTGTTTGCCCCGGCAACAGTTGCTCGCCAAGCTCTATCTTGTCGCTGGCCGACGAACACAACCGCGGCAAGAGGAGGAGGAAGACGACGATGGTAGTACAAGCTGTACTATCCATCACCAAGATTTGTATTCCCTTCTGTACTCTACAGGATTACAGAATCAGGAGGAGCAGCTTCGAAGTGCACAATCAGATACATAAACTCTGAAAATTGCAGTCTGAATGAAATTTCATTGGGCGAGTTTTTTTTTTTTCCAGCATCAAGAGTTTCAGACAACGTCTAAGTCTGACAGTTGGTACTAGTACACGGTGACGTTGTGCCAGGTAGATTAACGGCGTGTTTAATTCGCGAAATAAAATTTTTAAGTGTCACATCGGACGTTTGACCGGATGTCGGTTGAAGTTTTCGGTCACGAATGAAAAAACTAATTTCGTAACTCACCTGGAAACCGCAAGACAAATTTGTTAAGTCTAATTAATATGTCATTAGCATATATGGGGTTACTGTAGCACTTATAGCTAATCATGGACTAATTAGACTTAAAGAATTCGTCTTGCGAGACAAATTTTTTGGAACTAAACAAGGCCTAACAAATGGACGGAAGAAATAGTCTCCTCTGTTACGCACAATGCAATATTCAACAACAACTGAAGATTTTCTTCTTAGGAGGTGAACACGATGGTGCGACCAAGAACAAGAGGATCGGTAGGTAAATACTAGTACTATTTGGTGTGGAAGCGTGTTTTTTTTCCTGCATGTGCGTGTTGTTCATACTGCGCGTGAATGTCCGTCCAATGGTGTTCTCTTCTGTACAGTCCTAGTCAGAACAATGAAAATATGAAATCAAACCAGAGTTGTAGGTTGTGAATTTTTCAGGTATGTTTAAAGTCTCTACTCGTTTTGCATTTGTCTTGGTTACCGAAACTTCAGAGCTTAAACCTGAAAGTCACCTTCCAGACTTGCTTCTGATGATTGATGAAATCGACTTTATTTTGGACAGGTGAAGATCGTCGGCTGAATTTTATTAGGATCAGGAGAGAGCTGCAGGAAAACGTGATCAACGACACTATTAGGCGGCTCAAACCAGCCTTAGACAAATAATATTGAATTTATCCTATTGCAGACGTACTTCTGATGGTATTGTATTGATTACCGTCATGTTGACGACTCTAGATTTGACTTAGCTTCATATGAATGCATACCCTTCGTGTCAGTCAATGTTCTGTGTATTCAACTGAGTGACATCCTACATTTGTACAAATATGAGCTTTTATTTTTTTAATTATAATGTGTTATTTAGATTTTTTTTGTGATATAACGAGAAAGACCAAAGAAAGGGCTAGAAAAGAATAGCAACAAATTGAGTTCCAAACCACAAATCATGCATCAGCTGTCTGCCTTTTTCTTTGGACAGTGATTGTTACATCATCTAAAGTCAAAGAATTATCCTTAGCTACCTCCCCTCTATATCTGTTAGCGTAAAAGTATTCATTGAGTTCTGAATATTATCTCTCAATTGCTCTATTTCAGAACTCCTTTGTGCAAAGTAAGCAGGGCAATTCGGGGTTGGAAGTGCAGTGGTACTCCCACTCTCCAGGGTGGGCACAACGGATGACATAAGTGGCCTGTCATCTGGGTTTTCTTGAACACACAACAGTGCTACATGGATACATAGCAAAACTTCATGTAGTAAGCAACTATCCATAATTGATGAGTCTGCCAAATCCTTCATCTTCCCTTCCTTCCACATGTTCCATGACTGAAACAATAAAAAGTAATGTTTGGTTATAGAACTAAGAAAAAAGATCCCAAATCTTCTGGTTTTAATCTGAGATAAATCTACAGAAAAGATATATATACTCACGTAAACTATGAGGTTTGGAAAGTCCATGATGTTACTAGTAGAGCTTCTCCTTATACCAGTTACAACTTCCAGTAGTAACACACCAAAGCTATAGACATCGGATTTAGTAGAGAAGATACCTTCAATTGCATACTCAGGAGCCATATAACCACTGTTACCATTTCAATCGCAAGAGTTACTAAACATGATTTAAATTAATCATGTTTACTTTGAGAAATTAATTCAAATGGCAACTCACTATGTTCCAACAACACGTCGAGTATTTGCATTTTGTTGATTATCACCAAAGATCCTTGCCATACCAAAGTCTGCTATCTTGGGTTTCATCTCTGCATCTAGTAGAACATTGCCAGCTTTAAGATCTCTGTGAATTATGGTTAATCTTGAGTCTTGGTGTAGATAAAGAAGTCCTCTTGCCACTCCCTTTATTATAGTAAACCGTGTTCTCCAGTCTAGTTTAAATTTCCTTGAAACATCCATAGAAAGAAGTAAATGTAAGCAATCTATTGTCAAGTCAATTTAGTAGCTTATGCTTGATATGTCACCAGGGCATACCAAAAAGGGTAGCATCTAAGCTTTTGTTAGGTAAATACTCATAAATTAGCAGCTTTTCATCTCTCTCAACACAACAACTAAGAAGGCGAACCAAATTTCTGTGCTGCAATTTTGCGATAAGAATAACTTCATTCCTGAATTCCTCTGTCCCTTGTCGAGAATCCTTACTTAACCTCTTAACAGCAACTTCCTGACCACCTAGCATTGCCTTAAAAAGGTTGAGAAGAAATTTGAGCTTGTGTCATAGAAAATGAATTAGTGAACAAACTATAATAAATAAGAGGATGTTTTACTAGCTAGGGAACGAATTACCATGTAAACTTTGCCAAAACCTCCTTGCCCAATCTTATTTGCTTCTGAGAAATTGTGGGTTGCTAGAGCAATATCCTCAAATCTTACAAATGGAAGTTCAAGATCTTGGACAGGGTTCCCTTGCCCAATCTCTTCAGATGTATTCGCACCATCGAAAATTAGCTTCCTGTGCTTTTCCCGGTTTCTTTTCTTGCCTGCTCAGAAAATCAAAAGTATCCAACGTTAATTTTCTGATGACTGTACCATGGGGCTTCTAAGAAAAGAAAAGAATACTGAATATACCTTTAATTTTTAACCATGCAAAGGACATGCATAGGACAATAATAATGCTGCTTAACACTGGCAGAACAACCTTGAGTACGGCATTGATCTTCGTCCTCCGACCTTTACAACAGTACAAAACGCTGCAAACTTTTACGATCCAACTAGCAATTGTATTTTTTAAGAAAGAAAGGAAGTAGTAAATTGTAACATAGCGATCCTTGGCACGGTTTCTATTGTAAATTTTGGTACCTAAGCTAATAAAAATAAACTAAAAAGGTGGTATTAAAAGGTACCGAGTAGTGGAGTACTAAAGCATATAATCGGAAAACTATATTCATCCCTTAAAGGGATATCCCCTCGTTTTTACATTTCACTTAAAAAGTCATCAAAAAATTATTATGATGGATCAACATGTAATATGTCACTTCACGAACATGTATATTCAAATTCAACTTATATAAGTAGAAAAAAAATATAATAAATTTGATTATGAAAAGAACGTGTAATTCACAGTCAAATTTGTTATTTTTTTGAATTGTATAAGTCGAATTTTAATTTGCATGTTTGCGAAACAATATATCATATATTGATCTATCTTAACATTTTTTTTCAATTATTTTGATAACTTTTTAAATGTCATGCATAAAACGAGAAGATGTCCTCTTAAGGGACAAGAATCCACTTCTCATATAATCACTGAAATTGTAACCACTTTTTTTTTTGCGAGGAAAATTGTAATCATGCATTTACCCGCGTCAATGCTGGCAAGCCTAAGGTGGATCGTGTCACTTTCAGGCCATTCGCCTATCTTCTCTGTGTCAATCAGCTCGCCTGACCACACCAAGCACCTCGTCACGTCGCCCTCTGATATGCTGCTACTCAGGTTGGCGTAGGCGTACGCCACGCAGGAGCAGTTGTTGCTGCACTCGGCGGCGCACGCGTCGAGCGTCCTGTTCGGGACGTGCACGAACTTGTCCGGCGACTTCATCCCCGGCACGGCCAAGAAACGGTCGCTGCACTGCACCGCCTCCGTCCGCCGGCAACCACGCGAGAACCGGCCGCTGTTCCACTCCTCCGCGCTCGCCGGCTCGAACCCTGCGAGGCACTTGCACGTCGGGACGGCAGGCGCCCTCGCCGTGTTGTCGCACAGTAGCCGTTCGGGCCGCAGTAGTTGTAGTAGTTGCAGTCCCATCTAGGCAACTCGGCGACCACCGCCCACGCTGACGAGCTGATGTTCCAGCGCTGGAACTGGTACCTGCCGGCGTAGGTAATCACATACCTGGTGTGCGGCGAGCCCTCGGAGACGCTGAACGTTATGTATCTCTTCTCGTCGTTGTCGACAACAGAGAAGTAGAAGATGTCGCTGGAATTCACTTGCAGGTACCGGCTCAACATCATGTAGCCCGTCCATGGCGCGTCCCTCGAAACCGGGCGCGTCCCTTTCCGGACGAACACCTGGAGGAACGTGTCCGGGTCGCCGCCGAACGAGAAGCTTCCCGGCGACGGGTCACCGGGGCCCCTCCACGACACCAAGCGATCGGAGACACGCGTCTTGAACGTCATCCCAAGCTTCATCCCAGGGAGGAACGAGTCGGTGGGGTGATCGAAGCTCTTCCACAGGATGGTGCCGTTCGGTGACCGGATGACGAGGTTGCCGGTGTTCAGGAGCACCGCCGTGGAGCCGGAGCCCGCTGCATCGTCGGTGATGTTGGTCGACCAGCGAACGCGGCCGTCAGCGTCAGACAAGACAAGGTTGGAGGAGTTGGTAAGCGACAGCGTCGGCGCAGACGAACTAGTGTTTGTGACCGGAGTTCCTCGGTCGGCGACCCACACCACCGTGCGCTGGGGGATGTCGTTGTACCATATGCCGAGGTACATCTTCTCCGGAGTGGCAGTTGAGGGGGAGAAAAAGCTCAAGGCGAAGGCACCGCCGTCGGAGACGAGGGTGGCGCCAGGGGAGAGCGGCTTGCCGGTGACAAGCCGGTCGTCGGATGCACATGGCGGCGGCAGGAGGAGGAGAACACTGGTGATGCAGGCTAAAGCCGCAGCTGATCGATCCATCAGAACCTTCTTCCTTTTCAGTATGAGCTTGCACTGAGCAAGTGAAGTGAGCAGGCTACAATGCTATATCATTGCCTGCGTGTGAAATATAGATTTTGGAACAACTTGGGGAAACTGTTTTAAACACTCGGGTGGACGTCCACCCGAGATATTAGAATCCATCCTCAACAACTTGGCCCACTTCCCTGGCAACGTTGGCAACTTTCCGTACT